TTTCGTGCCGACAATGTCAGCTCATGAAAACGGATTGCCGAGGAATGCAGCAGCAAACGATGACGATCCCGGTCTCGGAAATTGGTGAACTTTGGTCGGTCGACGTGATGGGGCCGTTTCCATTGACCAGGCGTGGTAACCAGTACATTTTATTGATGACAGAGCACTTCACGCGATGGATTGAGGCGACAGGCATCCCGGATCAACGGGCTAGCACCGTTACCCATGCTGTCATGAATCACTTGGTAGCGGCTCACGGAATCCCAAAGGCCATCTTAACAGACCAAGGGCCGTGCTTCGAGAGTGAAGAATTCCGGAACTGGTTGGAGAAACTTGGCATCAAGAAATTGCGCACCACCCCATACCACCCGCAAACAAATGGCCTGACGGAACGTAACAATAGAACAATCAAGAAGTGGCTAGCAGCAAAAGGTGGAGACTGGGAGGAAGCGCTGCCGCTACTGTTGCTGACCCATCGAGCAACCAAACAGGCGTCCACAAAGAAATCAACATTCCAGTTGATGTACGGTCGACAACCTCGTCTACCTGTGGACCTAGAGATTGGAATGTGGCCAACTTGCCGTATATCTCCCGAGGAGACACGTAATAACCGGAAGACCGCCAACCGCAATCTACAGGCGACTCAGGCGCTGAGGATGGCGAACTTCCAGACCAGCAAAGGTGGAAGGAATATCGAGTTTCAGATTGGTTCGAAAGTGAAGTACAGGGACCATCAACGCTATCCCACTTGCGGCCCAGGGGAGAGGAAACTTCTAGCGAAGTGGAAAGGACCGTACGAGGTAATCGACCGGCGAGGCCCAGTGTATACAATAGCTCGGCAAGGTGAATCGCGGAGGGTGAATGCCAGCAAGCTGAGGAAGTGGTACGAATTGGAGGAGGAAACACGCTCGTACGGTGAACATCCCCGGCGGTCAGAAAGATTCCGACGGAAGGCAGCTGACGCGAATCCTTTGGAGGAGGAGAAGTGTGGTGGATTGAAGGTAGATACTACTGAGCCGGATATAAGTAGTGTGGTGCAAGCTGACACACCAACAGCGAGCCTTGCCGACTTCCCCAAAGTTGAAGATGACCTCAGGATTACAGTTCCATGTGCACGAGGAGTAAACACAGAGACGAGCACCAGTTGGGAAACACTCTATGGAAATCACGCGGAAGAGCGGACGCCTCCAAAGTAACTGTATGGAAATCACGCAGATGAGCGGACGCATCCAATGTATGAACGAACACACCTAGTGTAAGCCACTTTAGTAATAAATAATTACAGCCTGGCACGGGTTCTAACACGTTTATCGATGTGCGTTGGGTACTGAACTGCTTGAGTCAATTTTGCAAGGAAACAGCCGACACAATGGGACCCATCCGGAAGGTGAGTCAAAGAGGTATAAATAAATAAATTAACAGATAAACGGTATAATTCGCGACATGTGAGACACAGGCAAAATACAATCCTGATCATTTGGTACGACATAGTTGGATAGTGGGGGGATAATTCAAGATATGTAATGTGTGCACTAAAGCGTTTGAGGGGCTAATGCATCTAAAAGAAGTAAAATATTAAATGTTGGGAGTGTGAATAATGGTGGTTATAGCCGTCAGTTCAAGTAAAATTCATAGAATCGTCTCCCGGAGACAGGTTTTCACACTTCATTTACACATCTCATCTGACCATGTGCTGTTGTAGCTTAATGCAAGTAGCCAATGTGCTTTTGAACTCTATATTTTGGCTGTTGTCATATGCAATTTTGTCATAATCATTGTAACACATTATACATAAATATGTATATATTCACTTGTGGGACTGTGTAATATGTTAAGCTCTCGCCATCATACAGCCAGCATTTAGCCAATTCGGGTCTAACAATTTTACCATTCGTTAGTGAGTTCTTGACAACTCGCATTTCATGAGTGCATTGCAATTTTTGGAAGTATCTAACCGTCACCTCGGGAGATCGGCCCAGTCGTGACCAACAGTAGATAGACAGAAATAAACAAAAAGAAAGAATGAAGGAACAGTAATGTGAACTGGATGGGCTTTTGTTCAAAGTTCTCCAATAAAGATTGTGCAAATTATCACTGGAGATATAAACCCATTAGAAATGTACGTTTTCATAAGGAATTTTCCAAGGAAATAATTGAGATGGCTCCAATAGTTGCAGGAGATCAAATTTGGGCGATGGTTGTTGTGAAATCAATTTATATAGCCGTTAGAGTTGTTTTAGGTACGCAAGATATTTTCTCCAGGAAGCGACAGAAATATGTATGCAGTGTAAAGCAACTTTACTGCCGTACCAACAGTTTAGCTCCGTTCATTAAGAGGAGGTTGATTTTGAAAGAGGTAAGTGTTCAGAGTGGTCGTAAACATGGATGATCTTAGTAGGATTTCAGGTAGTACCCTCAGATGAATCCAGTCAAAAACGGAGATAATATCTATGTTGTTTTCGCGGAGCACGGAGAACTGCAGCTCGTGCCTAAGAGGTGGGCGCCAGGAAAAGGTAGCAAACGATTAGTACTGTATAAGGAATGTGAAGCAGTTCGTTAGAGAGGAATTTTAGGATATATTTCTGCTTTGATAACCGTAAACTTCATGGTAATCAGGATATCTTTCTTTAGAAAACAGCCTTTAGCTACTGATATACATGGGGATGGAAGCAAGGTGTGACAACAACAGAAAAAGTACTATCGTTTTGAGGATTTACCCATCTTGCACCAATTTCGTACAGACTCATTTGTCATGGTAGGACGCAGTATCCTAATCGCTGTTTCTACGTTTAGAAATGAAATAGTTTGTCGGAACTTTATCCCTGACTGGATTTCACGAACCTCAGATGCAATTCTGTCCCATAGTATGGAGTACAGGTTATTGAAAAATGTTATCGTACAGTGTGTTCGTGATATTTGCACTTTTACTTTGTTGTTGGTATTGTTTCGATTGCGACGTATTGACAATTCTGCTCGCTGTACTCGTGGGTGTGGAGTGTATTTTTAGGTAATTGGATCAAAGAAGATAACAAGGTTAATTTGCTTTCTTCGCAGCCACAGTGGATCAAGTTTAAGACAATGCAACGATCCATAGAAGAAAGGGTGGTGGAATAGCATAACAGACTCTTAGCAACTGATCGTTGTACACGTTCTAATGGGTGGCAGTCTGCAGATTCCCCGGATTGCCTGTGTAAGATTCTAACTAAAATTGTTTCATTGTACACTAGGCACCTGGTGTGGTTGGTTGAACTGATTGCTGAGTTGGAATGCTTGACTTGCTAATCGCCATTTTCGCTTGGCGCTCGTTCCTGTTGCAACGCGTGACTGCCCTGTGTGCAGTGTATCCTCCGTTCCCCCTAGCTGTAGCGTCAACGGTGTCGTTTTTTATAGCTATGTAATAGGGAATCATTTACTGTACCGATAAACCTTTCCCTGCAACTCGATCTGGCTTTTCGAATCGCTCTCCGAGTTCCCGGTACAGGCTACTTGCTAAAATTGCCATACGATCACGCACTCTAGTTACAGTAGATGATGGAGCTATACTCAAGTAATGGACGTGTTTCTATTTTACACAGTGTTAATTGATTCTTTCAAGTAGAATGTTTTGAACAAAAACCCAATGCTCCAAATGGCTTGAGCTGCAGTGTTTGGAAAAGCTAAGGGTGTTGGAGTATTGGATCCCAAGGTTAATAATAGTGTGGCAGTGAGACAGTGGTTTATCATCAATCTTAAGCGAACCCAATATAATGTCACATCTGTAAGATAGTACGTGGCATTTGTCAGCAGAGAATGACATCAACAGTTTGGAGCTCCATGAATCGAGCACTCTTAAATCATGCTGGATTTCGCCTAGCATTACACTGACCTCAGTTGGATTAAAAGTGTAAACGATTTTTATGTTATCGGCAAATAGGAACGGTTTTCCGGAGGAAAAGATGTAAAAATATCGTTTCCATACAGTAGGAATAAAAAGCGTCCCATAATGATACTCTGTATCATGCCGCTGGTGACAGGTTTCGGCTTTGGACATAGCGTATTTGGTGAAATGGACTAAAAGTTGAATTTGCGATCATCAGCTAACTCGGAAACGAGATACTGTGTTATCATGATCCGGTGCGACACCTGGTGGAATTGTGACAACGGAGATAGCGAAATGGGTGCTGTTTTCCTTCCGGATAATAAGTGGGGTTTACAGTTGAATGGTGTCGCCATGAACAAACGCATAGGTGACTATCCGCAGTAGTCTAGATGACGCAGCTTTCCAAAGTAGCAGAGAAGCCTTCTCATGTACACTGACTGCAAACCGATAACGTCCGTTGGTAGTGATACGGTACACAAGGGATCACGGCGCCCATAGCCAACGCGGATCAGGATTCGAAAGTACAGTGAACATTGTGAGCACGTGCGCACGCGGGTCAAGAGCATATACGACGAGATAAGACTGATCCCAAGACATATGCCATGGAAAGTAACTTAGCCTGTCTAAAGATGAGGTTGTAGTGAAAAACCGTTAACCATAACGTATTCCTACTTGCACCAGAGTGGTTAGGGCGGTCAGCAGTGAGTCGCCACCGACCCCACAGTAACAATGGTGGAAGATCGCCTGAGGCAGCTGTCTCGTACCGCCGCAATTGTTAGCAACTTTGGCTTTAAAGAGTAGGACTCCAGAAAGCAGCAAAAGCCGCATTCGGATACATAACATCCAGTTTGGCAGTAACCGAACTGTTTAGTCTCAAACACAACAAAGTAGAACAATGGCACAAAGAAGCAGTATAATCGTCAGAAACTTCAGGAGAAATACACACGTTTCACCGACCGCTAAAAATGTGGGTGAGTGATATCGTCCGCGAATACTAAGTAATACACGTCATTGGAAATGAGAAAACAATACATACACAATGAATCAGAGTGCGAAATCGATCGCTATGAGTATTTGGAATATACATGATAATTTGCCAATTCAGCGGCCCTTCGACCGAGGGCTTCTGCTTTAGCAAGTATCAACAATTCCGGTGATGTCTGACAAAACCCTGACTGAAGTTGTTTGGCAGCAGCTGCCTGGGTTTTTTGGTGGATGAGAGGGAGTGACATTCGCAAGAAGGGTTGTACGGGCTGAGCACTTTACGTTCGGCATGAGTCACATATCTGGGCTTCTCCAGTCTTCGAAATTCGGCCAAATTCGGTGACACCAACTGGTCGAATTCTTCTTCAATGTCGAAGAATATATCTCGGAGAGATTTGGTCATATTCGGTTCGTCAGAAGCGGGCTGCTTCATAGCGCGAATTCTGTGACTGGAACGCTGGGTAGCCCCGTGACACCAGGATGTTTTGCACCGGGAGGCAGTCTCGTTGGGGTTCTAGGAGTTTAGACAGCATCGGATAACTAGACATTTGGTTGTGACAAAGTTCGTTCAACACCTCCGGAATCGCCAGCGGCACTAAAATAGAAGCCAATAAATAAGCAAGACATAAAACGACAGGGTGTGGGCTGGTGTTGGCTTGCGTCGATATAGTGCAAACTACTAACACTTACAGTCTTACATACATGAAATGAGGTGCTAAATCCCCTTAAACTCGAGAAGAGATCTTGGCGATCAGTCGAGTTGAAGGTGACGGCGCTGCCGGAGCAGCACGTGAGATTAGCGCTTCTTCCCTTTTGCGTCCATACCAAGTTCCAGGTGGGCATCTACGATGATGTTCTGAGGTTTCCTTTGTGCCCATGGCGTTGCTAATGGGACGTGCGGTTTTAGGCTGCCGAGCAGGTTGCCGCGACTATACACAGGACAGTAGGAAAGCAGTACCTGTTTAGGAATAAGACAGAAATAAAATGCACCCGAGAAACCAGACTAACTTGGGTTCGTTATTCTGTACTTTGTTATTTCGTAGACTGAGATTGTCATGTAACAGCAGACCCAGTAACAAACAGGCTTGAGGAGCAGTGCGATTTCAATGCAATATTTGATAGTAAACTTAGTTGAAACGAAGGGAAATCACTGTCAGTTTGACCATAATTTAGATCAACAAAGTACGCTAGTCTTGATGGCAATTGGGAGAGTTTAAAGAGTAGGTTAGTATACAGAATCGTGAGATAAAGTACAGTAAACTGCATGCAAGAATTGGATAGCTGGTAAACGACAGAAAAAGCAGGTGTACCGAAGAGTATGAAAATAGAGAGGCTATCACTACTGGCAGCTGATGTGCGACAGCACCAAATTAGTAGAAAGTAACATCCCAGGCAGTTTGAATGCTGTATGATGAAGATGACAACGCACATCACTGCCTGGGAGCCAAGCATAAGACCGCGGCAATCGAGTCAGGTGGTGGTCTATTTCGCCTCTGGATTTGGTAAACATTATTGTTTTCGACAGTTATACAGTTATTTGCGGAGTGACTGCTTTCAATGTAAGAGCTTAGAGCAGTTGGTAGACATTCACATTTAAAAAACAGAAAGGCGAGATTGTCGAAAATTTGCCCAAGGTTCAAGTAGAAGCACGACTAACGGGTGCCGTCGCGTAAGTACGAAGCGCCGAAAAATTCATCCGAAACTGGGGCTCAAGAGGAGTCTACGTGAGAGACAAATGCTGAGAAGGACAGACAGGTGATGTATTCTCGAAAAGAACAGTTTGAAGAGCAGTGTAGTGTCGCATTGTCTCCAGACGCATGTGAACTTACGCATGATCCTAACCTCCAGCTTGCACTTCTGTTGAAGGGATCTGGTGCGAAAGGTAACTGATAGAGTAGGAAAATTGACCAGACCGATAACATTCTTCCACTGTTTCTGACAGATTATGGTGACACGCTGGCTGCTGAGCTAGCAGGTTTGTTCAAAACTACCCTAAGGATGGTGTTTGTCAAGCAGTGTGTCCTCAGCGTTCCAAAAAGCAAATAATATCGTGTTTGAACAAGTGATGCTGTCGCCTTCAAACATTCCATGACAGTATACTCAAGCAACTCAGTGGTTCCAGATAAGTAGAGTTAGTGAAAAGTAAGCCAGTTCCACCCAGGAAAAGAACATGCTAAACATATAATTACACTGCATTGTTCTTAAAAGCAGAGTATTACACATAATTGAACTGCTATAGTTGTTTTGCTTGAATTGGACGCCGCTTTCGACTCAGGTGAATGCGCCAAACCGTAGCGTCAACGAATTCAGAACGAGGTGAAAGAGAAAGCTATTTTTTACACTGAAATCTCGTCTTCGTGATTGCCGGGAACGTGTGAAATGTTTACTGGCAATAGTATGAGTTCAACACAACAAGTGGCGTGCTTCGGATACAAACTAGGTGATCAGAATGGCTATAAATGCCAACCCTACTCGACAAGGAAAGAAACGACAGTGAAGACTGTAATATGTGAGAAGAGGCATGCTCAAGCAGCGATGCAAACGAAGACACCCTGGAATCACAACATATCTTTGTTCGTATCACCACAAATCGGTTGTCTATCTAACTTCGAGTAAACAATGACAGAAAGCCCCAGACTTGGCTATTCGTTCTGTCATTCTAGCACATCTGTATACTCAGAACAAAATACTGTTGTAGATGTAACTGAGCACATAGGAGTAGTTCAGAAAGCACTAATCAGGAAAGGCAAAACACGGCCGTTTTCTCCCAACGGATCCATCAGGAACCGAATCCATGACCACTAGCGTCCTGCACCTCTATCCATCAGCTACTGCCACCTAGACGCTTTGGCAGATCATTATGACTCGCAAGCAAAGTGTCGCAAAATGCAACTTGTCCTTCGCCATCATACAGGCTGGAGGATTGCAGACGAGAGTGCTGGGTCCCATGAAGTCACGACGCCTCACAACGACAGCTACGTATGGATAACCATTGTTTAATCGAAGATCCGGCGCGCAAAATTCAAATTCTCCATGGAGACGCAGTTGAAAAGTGAATGATTTAAGCATCACTTCGTCCAACAGCAGAGGTTAGTGGTTTTGATCGCCCACAATAAGAAGCACACAAAGGATGGTCGAATAACATGTGGTAATGCTATGTAAAGCGCGTCCGTAAGAGCAGAGCTACGTAATCAAGACCCATCAATGTTTCACTGTGGAAGTGACATGAATAGAAACTTAAAGAGAAGACAGGGTCGAGCATCCTGAAACAGATCTGTACACACATTAGAATCACATTAAATGGTCCCAGTAACGCCAGAGTAGCACTCGGGACACCACAGATGGGAGGAAATGGTGGAACCAACCACAGGGGATAAAGACATCAACAGTGCGTCCGTAAACCGTACCGACGATTCGTTGCCAAGCAAACAGCGTAGGTTGCGCGCGTGCTGTGTATACCACAAGGCCACCCGCATCTACACATAATCGAAAAGGTGGATAACAAAGTAGGCGCATTATCCTTTCGTCAACTGGCCGATAAGGGTTAAAACAATGGCAGTGTAAGTCACTTAGGTGCCACTACCCATCCCCTCTTCCCGCCAATCGCGCAAGATCCCCACACAGTCCTTGGTTAAGTGGCAATTTAGCGATTTCCCGAAGTAAATTAAGCACACCGGGCTGTGAGTGATCTATTTCCAAAATACGCTTTTCTTGCGCGTTTCCCGCGCTGCGACCTCTTTCCATCAGCCTGATGTATGCCATTAAGAGTACAAGTACCGAGTTTCAGATAGGTCTAATGCTCCTGCAGCGACACGACATATAATGTCACGATTTTGAAAAGAGTTATCGTAGTTAGACCCAGCCAGACAGCTACCATGCATTCAGGAAAGCATGAAAATGTTCGCAGATCTCTGGTGGCAAATTTTAGCCGCGAAGCAATTTCTCAAAAGCCGAATAAAGACCTCTACTATTCCTTAACAGACATTTATCTTTTAATCACAGGATGTTCTAAGGACAATTCAGCGGAACCGAAAAGATATCTAGGGGAGTCAAAATACGTATATTGATTTTAATGCCTGGGCGGGCTCTTGGCGATCCACTCCACCATCCGGGGCAGTGAGAATATCCGGTGAAAACAAATCTAGTGTGATGAAGCTCGTTTGTTTTGCATTAACTGACCAGCTTACCGTTTACGGTATACTCACTATGGTAGTTTACAAAAGACAACTGGAAGAAAGATCGTTCGTATATATACATTGACGACGATATGCTGTAAAATTTAGCATATAGATGAAGATAACAAACATATGTGAGAAAGATGCTACGTACTAAGTCGCATCATCGGGCCTGCAGGAGTTCCCACATTCGGTGAGGAAATGGTGACGGAGGATTTCATGCGTTTAGAGAAGGCCAGCAAATGCTGACGTAAACTTTCATAATCTGGAGTCTGATCGTAGTCAAGCTGGCTGACAGTGAGCATAAAGTTGGACAAATCTGTTCGAAAACAAAAGAAGGTAGATGGGATCGGAAATAGAAACGACAATGCTAGAGAAATTGGCAGTCATGCTACTATCTCGCTGTTACCCTACATCTGCATACTAAGAAAGTAGTATGACGCAAAGCTCAGATGTCATCTGTGCAGGTTTCTAATTCGTATCGAGGGGATGCCCAATCAGGGCACCTTGGTTGTCGATGGGTTCAACTAGCTGGTTGGTTTAAATTTAGCAAGAATCTCTGCGCCAACGCAGGAGTGATGTGGAAGCTCGTTCAGTAGACCGAACAAAAAGAGTGAATATGATGTGGACTGATTGTGGCGAAAACAAAAGCCCACGTGTTCGCCATGCTGACTTTGCGACCGTCAGACTAGATTCCGGTATTTGTATTCGGGAAACGCATTTATGACATGCCAATTGTGTGTGTGGGGGGACGACGTTACTCTTTCGACTGTGCAGTACGCTCGTTAAGTAATCTAATCAACTGTAAATATGCATAGACCATTTTTGCATTAAACTTTGCTAACATACTCCTCGGAAACTAGTTACCAACAAAAAGTTTAAACTCTAAAGTAGAAAAAGCGTTTAAGTGGTAACTCCAGGAAGGCGCTCTCTGCTGTACTCCGCGGTACAGAAATCGGTCTCCAACGACAACAACCCTCACACAGTGCGCAGTGTTTACAGTTGTAATATTTACAAACTAAAAGGATGAGTTACGGTGGAAACATTATAGTGTTGCTCATCCCAACACTGACAACCCACGACCGCGGTTTCGTCCTGGTTGGGACTTATAAGATGGCGATAGCCAGAGTTGGGCTGTAACTCAGAGCCTAGTGGCTCATGGTTGACGCCATAAGCACTATGCTACTGAGATCCGCGAGCAACGCTTCGTACAGCGGAAATGAATTCAAAGTTGGACTACGTGAATCCGCTGTGTGGT